AGGAAGCTCAAAGTTGCCACCTTTATTGAGCTATGGCCCTATCTCGTGCATTAGAACTCCTTTATGGCTTAGTTTTGGTGTTTTAGCTTCATAACACCCATGCATGCACGTAAAGTTTGTAACTTTACATGTATATCTACCCTAAGAGGTTAGATCTATGTGTTAAATGCAATAAGCTCGACTGATATCGACTGTTTGGACTTGGACTTTGGGGGACTCAATGAGTCGTTCTTAGGACTCGACGAGTCGGGTCATGGTTCCCCAACCTTTTTTGTTTCTGAGCAATCTATTTGAGTCTAGTATAGGACTCAGTAAGATAGACGTAAATATGGACTTGAAGATCAAAGAACTCTACGAGTTCAAGGATGACATCGGTGAGTTCAAGGCAATGTCTCGACTAATATGAAGAATAACTCGATGAGTTCAAGGAAGAACTGGCCGAGTCAAAGGATAAACTTTCCAACTTATATGAAGTAGGACTCGACGAGTTCAAAGATGAACTTGGCGAGTCATGAGCAAAAGGTCTCGTTTTTGTATGAAGGAGAACTCGACGAGTAGGATTGAAGTTCCAGTATTTTGTGGATTATGGAACTTGACGAGTTGGGTCAACAAGAAGGTTGACTTTGACCCACGCGTTGACTTTGATCAGGGGTAAAATGGTTATTTTACCCTAAGAAGGATTATCATATTCTGATTAAGTATTATTATGAAATTGATAGAGAGGGTGTCGTCAGAGCAGCAGTTAGATATTCCTCACTCGAGTTTTTAGCAGTCAGCCTTGCAAAGTGAGTTTCTTTCAGTACGGACGAGTCTAAGGCACCAAGGTCGGCCCATAGTATGATATGTTAGTAGTTGAGTGTGGGCGAGGCCCGTATCTCATAGTAGCTGTGTGTGGGCGGGGCATATATCTCATAATTTAGTTTGATTATGGTTATATGCATGACTGATAGAACTAGTTATACTTGTTATCTGTATGATACTTATATGTATGTTTAGTAGCTGAGTGTGGGCGGGGCATGTATCTCACTGCATCTGGGTGTAGGCGGGGCCCGTATCCAGTAGTAAACAAGCATGGGTGGGGCCCGTATCTTGTAGTAGCTGAGTGTGGGCGGGGCCTGTATCTCAAAGTTAGCGGAGTGTGGGCGGGGCCCGTATCTCCCCAGTTAGCAGAGTGCGGGCGGGGTTTGTATCTCCTAGTTGCATGTTATCTGTATGGTATGTGGTAGTTTAGGGAGACTCACTAAGCTTCATTCTTATAGTTTTCAGTTTTGGTTTCAGGTACTTCCAGTAGCAAAGGGAATGGCACGGGATGATTGCAGTGCACACACTAGTTGTTCAGCCCGGGATGTTTATGATTTTGTTATACATTGATGTGATTTTTGAGATATTATGACATGTGTTTTGGATAACTACGGTTTTATTAATAATTAAAAACAAAAATTTTGGTCTATATTTTTGGGATGTTTCAGTTGCTTGTGGGAGGTTGTTGCCTACACCGACCAGTTGGTCCGGGTATTCCCTATTGATGATTTATTTGCCACTTGTCGGCTCTACCCATGACTTTTTGCTTTCCTGCATGATCTCTTTCAGCTGCATGATTTCATAACATTGTAACTCTCTTGGCATCATTTCCAGGACTGTCCCTGGTCCTTTCGTTGTGCTGAACTTTATTATTCCATGCATTGTTGATGGAACTGTCCCGAATTTGAGTAGGGTCGTCCGTCCAAGGATGATGTTATGCTCTGTGGGATGCCTTATCACAAAAAATCTATGAGAGTTTTCTTCTTTTTTTTGGTTGGTCAGTGTGAAGGGCAAGTGGATCGTGCCTAGGGGCCGTAGGTTGTGCCCTGTGAACGCTGCTAGTCAACTTGTTGCAGGTTTGAGGCTCACCTACCACCTATCGGATAGAAGGCAGAAACAATGCTTGTAGATTATATCCACTGAACTTCCTGTATCGATGTACACCCAGTGGATTGTAACATTTTTTATGGACCCATGGATTATGAGTGGGTCGTTGCCTCGCTACCCCGCCGGTCGAGGATATTTCGCTGAAAACATTAATACTTGCATGGATCTAGTGAGCTCTGTTGGGTTTTGAGCAATCTAACACTTCCTAAGTGTGCATGCAACCCTAATAAACCTTGGATCTATGGTTGTCTAAATACATGCAAAATAATAATTTTCCAAGGTTTATAACCTATCTAACATGGCATGGGGAACATTTCAACATAAAAGAGTTAGAAGAGATTACATACCTTTTGGTGAGTTTGGTTCTAAGGAGTTTGAGGGCCAAGAACTAATAGTGTGAATGCCTCAATTGGAATCACAAACACCACAAAATCTTGGAAAACTTTGAGAGAGTATACACCCTTGTATAAAATCGACCACACACATGCACACACACACACACTAGTTCACTAGTTTTCTCTTAGGCTCCATTTCATGCTCCATAAGCATGCTTATATAGTATGCATGGTTAGGGTGAAACCCTAATAACCCATGTCTTTTCCTTTCCAAGGATCCATGGGTTAAAAGCTCCATGGATCATCCATGGACTTCCACATAAGCCTAGCCCATTAACAAATGAGTATTAGCCCACACTATATAAAACAAATAGCTCATAATCTAATTAGTCTTCCTTTTAATCTCTAAATTAATTCATAATTAATTTAAGACTAAAACTAATAAAATAACGTATCTTCATATTAATATATTATAACTCATAATATATTAATAAACATATCTGTATAACTCTCATAAAATTATCCATAATAGTTTGGATGAGATGCAACCCAAATGGACCATGCCGGTCGGGTCAAGTATATACCAAATAAGTTATGGACTTAGACACCTTATCCAACAGACTCCCACTTGGATAAGTCTAATAACTGTATTTGCCTATAACTTCAGGAACCAACCAGCAATCGTAGCTCTCGAAAACTCCCTCGAACTATGAAGACTCTGTTGAACTATGAAGCGCCATTTTAGATAAGTGATCACATAATCCTCTGTTCTCATGATATCAGTCGGACAAACACATGGAACTATGTCTTGCTTATTGTCTAGCAGTTGTTTCTCGATTTTCCGATTTGTTTGACGAAGAACTTCACTGAACACATCGGTTTAGTTCTGACCAGGCCTGGTACATGGGTCAACACAAAATCATCGAGGGGCCCAGATATCGCTTCTATTTCTAGAAGGAACAAATAAACTTCGACTGATATGCTTGTTCTACTACTTATTGAATTGTACACAAAGGCACGTTTTATAACATCAAGTTACTGATGTGTTTACGTGCAATCAATGCACAACCAACTCATAGGTAACAACTCATATCTCTAGGTTTAAAGATTTATATGATGTTATCGTCTCACGATCACTCGAGATAAATTCCATGAAGTGATACAAGTGAGCGTGGGTTTATACCAATACTCATAACTTATGAGTACTCATGAATGTTGCAGCAACCATTGCCATGTCTAAACACCTTTAAGGCATCTACAAACCCAATCCATGACAATCTTGATTCATACCTACTTCCGACGTATGATCGATTGTGGAGGTTTGAATAAATTAATTATTCTGGAAGTCAAAACATGCAAAACTGAAACAATAGTAAATAATTGACAATGATAGTAACACTTTACTCATAACTAAATCACAAATTTTATTCATCATCAAACATCGATTACATTTTACAAGTTTCAGGAAAACTATCTAATCTGTAAAACTAATATCGTCCCTCAGCCCGATGCGTCTTGCATGCTGAAAATGCTTAACCCTCGTCAGTCCCTTCGTAAGGGGATCTGCAGGATTCACAACTAGAAAAATAGCCTTTTACGACGCGCAATTAATGACACACACGGATAGAGTACGCGCATTTGAGCGTGCCCAAAAAGTTAATGTCAGTTTTCCAAAATTTGAAGGATAGAGGATATGTATTTTCGCGTGCCCTAAAATTAGTGTCCAACAAAAAACATTAAAAACATGGAGGGCACTTATTTAAAGACGGGCGTCGTGTAGAGATGTCGCTTTATATTTTTAATGAAACGCGTGTTCCCTTCTTTTGCAGCTGGGGGGAAACGAAAATCCAAAAAGTTTGAATGGCCGCCATGTTATCCTCTACCTTATTACCGTCGTTCTTTTCTATATCTCAATCTCCCACACTCTAATACCCCAAAAAACCCTAATATCATCGCCAATCCTCTTTTCTCCTACAATAAAATCGCAATATCAGCAAATCTCCAATCTTCCACAAGAAAATGTCTCCGACCAATTTCTTAACCGACTCTCTTTCCTCACACTACTTCTCTTAGTAAATATGAAAAAACCCTTAATTGGAGAACCACGTACCATTTCTCCTTTTTCCCGCACCAGTCGGCATAAATTGAGGATTCTCGCACCTAGCAGTAGATATTCATGCCTAGCAGTCAATATTCACGCCTAGCAGAGGATTCTCCTTTCTCCCACACGGTAAAATTGTTCAATTTGGGAAATTGTTATGTGGCTTATCTTTTGTTTTTCTTTCTCTCACCATTTTCACTAAGTGACCACCGTCGGATAATCAGCAACCATCTCTTCTCTCTTCAACACTTTCAGTTATTCTTGATATTGTCATTGTTTCACCTTTGAACATGTTCTTATCTTTTTAATTTTAACAGAGGAGGGTGGCGGTGGTTCCTACACTGAGACAAGGTAACTTTTCTTGCGAAGCTATTTTTTGTTATCTGATTTTTGTTCTTTCTTTTCGGGATTTTGACTGGTTTAAAACCATACATGGAATTTTTGATGGCAAGATTTTCATTTTGTTACTGCACAGAAGGTGTTCGACAAAATGCCACAGTGAAGATATAGAGCTAAGTTGATTCTTCTACGGAAGTCTATTGCCCTCAATCAGGTAACTTTTTTTGACTCACAAGCAATCTGTATCTTATCAAATTAAAAAGTTGGATGAATCATGGTGGAATCTGTATGACAGTTTATGGGTTGTGATTAGTGAAATGCATGGGAAAGGGCCAACCTGTGAATCACAACGAAGAGCATCATCAGAAGGGCTAGGGCTTCTAGCGCGCCTTGGAAATGATATGTTTACTGCCAGATTGGTAAAATTTTGATATTGTTATTTATTTCATTTTAGAATGTGTTAAAAATCTCATGATCCATAATTTGTTTTGACTAGACTCGATCACTGCTTAATGATGTAATTGGCGCACCAGAGCATTATGTTGGATCAATTGCTCTAGCTCTTGGTTGCATCCAACACAGGTATTCTTCTTTTTATGTTGTATCTTTTTTAGTGAATTTACTTGTTTTCTCATAATTTATTTATTTTATTTTCTGAAAGCAAAACATTTATCATTCTCATGTTGTACGCAGCGCAGGAGGAATGGCATTATTAAGTTTAGTTCCATCCACTGTGCATTCTATCTCTTCACTAGCTAAGAGTTCAATAGCTAACTTACAAGTATGGGCTTTGCATGGACTTATTCTAAGAATAGAAGCTACAGGCTTGTCTTATGTTTCACAAGTTCAGGTACATTCCATATCCTTTTGTATGTATACAATTCCCACCTTTCTCTCTAATGTAAGAATAAAAATTAATAGGAGCTGGCATGTAATTAAAACGATCTAGACTAGGAGATAATAGTTATTATATGATCTGTCATTATTTTTTAGGCAACACTTGGCCTTGCTATGGATATTCTTTTGTCTGGAGAGAATGGATAGGTTGTGCTTCAGCAAGCAGTAGGTCGCATTGTGTGACGTCTTCCTTTATGACAAGGCCTTCCTTGATACGCATTGTGTGTCGTAAACACGCGTCGTAAATGCGTGTCGTAAATGAGCGTCGTAAAAGCGCGTCGTCTATAGACGACGCACATAAGCACGTCGTCTTTCTTTATGACAGGGCCTTCCTTGACGCGCATTTGCGCGTCGTCTGAGCCTTTTACGACGCGCAATGAGCGTCGTAAAAGGCTGTTTTTCTAGTAGTGATTCTCATCCGACGATATCCTCCTTGTCACAAGGAGTCCTTCTTCAATCTTGTGTCTTATGAAGTGATATTTTCTGTCAATGTGTCGGGATCTGCCATGATCTCTTGGTTCCTTAGCTAAGGTAACCGCACCATTGTTGTCACAGAAAATCTCTATAGGTTCCTTAATAGCTGGTACAACTCCAAGGTCTCCGATGAAGTTCTTTAGCCATATCGCCTCCTTCTCTGCTTCACTCGCTGCTATATACTCTGACTCACAATTCGAATCAGCCACCGTCTCCTGCTTGGAACTCTTCCAAGAAATTGCCCCTCCATTTAAGGTAAAGATCCAACCCGACTGAGAGCGGAAATTATCCCTATCAGTCTGAAAACCAGCATCACTATACCCTAATACTTTCAAGTCATCACTGCCACCAAGGGTAAGGACCCAATCCTTAGTCCTCCGCAGGTACTTGAGAATGTTCTTTACCGTGGTCCAATGAGCCTTGCCAGGGTTCCCCTGATACCTGTTGACCATGCTCAAAGCAAATGCCACATCAGGACGGGTACAAGTCATAGCATACATGATCGAGCCAACTGTAGAAGCATACGGTAATTGGCTCATCTCAGCTATCTCTGCCTCTGTACTCGGACTCTGAGTCTTACTCAGTTTGGTATTGCTTTGGATCGGTAAATCTCCTTTCTTGGAATTCTCCATGTTGAACCTTTTCAACACCTTATCCAAGTAGATACTCTGACTAAGTCCAATTAGTCTTCTACTCCTTTCTCTTAATATCCTTATCCCTAGGATATAGGTAGCCTCCCCTAGGTCCTTCATAGCAAAGCACTTCCCAAGCCAGGACTTAACCTCCTGCAAGGTTGGGATGTCATTTCCTATGAGTAGTATGTCATCCACATACAGTACCAAGAAGCTAACTATACTCCCACTAGCTCTGACATACACGCAAGACTCATCTTCGCTTCTCGAGAAGGCAAACTCTTTTACCTTCTCATCAAAACAAAGATTCCAGCTACGAGATGCTTGTTTTAATCCATAAATGGATTTCTCAAGCTTGCATACTCTATTAGGGTACTCTGCACTGACAAAACTCTCTGGCTGATTCATGTACACATCCTCAGCCAACTTTCCGTTAAGGAAAGCGGTTTTGACATCCATTTGCCATATTTCATAATCATGAAATGCTGCAATGGCTAACATAACCCTAATAGACTTAATCTTTGCTACCGGCGAGAAGGTTTCATCATAATCAATACCTTGAGTTTGAGTAAAACCCTTCGCAACCAGTCGAGCCTTATAAGTATGCACCTTTCCTTCCAAGTCTGTCTTTTTCTTGAAGATCCATTTGCACCTGACTGTTTTACGGCCTGGTACATTGTCAACCAAGTTCCAAACTTGATTGTCATACATGGACTGTATCTCACTATCCATAGCCTCCTTCCATTTAGCAGACTCTGGGCCTGCCATGGCTTCCTTAACACTGCTAGGTTCATCCAAATTTACCAGTGTACTATCACTGATGAATGTATCACCTTCCGTAGTAATATGAAAACCATAATAAAACGAAGGTGTGTTCCTAACCCGTGTAGAACGCCTTGGAGGTACAGACTCGTCAGCTGGATCAACAGGAGTTTCCTCCTCAGGTTGATTGCTAGTGTCTGAGGTTCCTTCACCAATTGATTCTTGAATTTCTTCAAGATCAATCTGCCTCTCACTGTCTCCTTGGCTTATAAATTCTTTCTCGCGAAAGATCCCTCTTCGTGCTACAAAGACCACATTTTCACTCGGTCTATAGAAGAGGTAACCGAAGGATTTCTGTGGGTAGCCGATGAAAATACACCTTTCACTTCGGGGTTCAAGCTTATCATGAGTTTCACGCCTCACGAAAGCTTCTCAACCCCAAATTTTGATGTGGTCCAAATTGGGAACCTTCCCAGTCCACATCTCATGAGGTGTTTTGGTAACCTTCTTTGTAGGGACTAGATTAAGGATATGGGCGGCAGTCTCTAAGGCATACCCCCAAAAAGAGATTGGTAACGAAACTCGACTCATCATAGAGCGAACCATGTCCAACAAGGTTCGATTACGCCTCTCAGCTACACCATTCAGCTGTGGTGTCCTGGGAGGAGTCAATTGTGAGACAATCCCACACTCCTTAAGATAATCAAGGAACTCGGTGCTAAGATACTCACCACCTCGATCGAATCGAAGCATCTTAATGTTCCTGCCCAATTGATTTTCTACTTCTTGTTTGAATTCGTTAAACCTTTCAAAGGTTTCGGACTTATGTTTGATTAAGTAGACATACCTATATCTACTAAAATCATCAATAAAAGTCACATAATACCGATTAGCATCCCTTGTGGCGGTTTTGAATGGCCCACATACATCAGTATGTATTAGATCCAATAAACCCTCACCCCTCTCACAGGTTCCAGTGAAGGGTGATTTTGTCATCTTTCCAAGTAGACAAGATTCACAATTATCATCCGATTTAAGGTCAAATGATTCCAAGACTCCACTCTTTTGGAGTTGGCCTATGCGTTTCTTGTTTACATGTCCAAGATGATAATGCCACAATGATGCTTTATCTAGGCTAGTAGAAGAATCAATATACAACACATTATTTCCTAAGTTGTCTACAATGGACACAGTTTCATACACACCATCACAAGGTAACGCTTTAAAATAAAACACATTATTAAAGAAAGCATTAATACCACCACATTCATTATCAAACGAAAAGGTAAAACCTTGTTTGTACAAAGCATGAAAAGAAATAATATTCCTCGCCATTTCAGACGAGTACACACATTTATTCAAATCTAATTTTAAGCCATTATTAAGCAACAACGTATAAACTCCAATCTTGGAAACAGGTGAAGCCTTCCTATTCCCCATGATTAAGTTTATCTTCCCGTGCTCCACATCCTCACTTCTTCTTAGGCCCTGCAAATCAGAACATATGTGAATACCACATCCTATATCAAGCACCCAAGAGTTAGAATATGTTGAGTAATTAGACAATATAGTGTAAATACCTGCATGGGTGGGTTTAACTTTCCCATCATTTAGATCCTGCAAGTACTTAGGGCAGTTTTGCATCCAGTGTGCCTTTTCATGGCAATAAAAGCATTCAGCATCCTTGGGAATGGCAGAAGGAGTGGCAGAACTGCTCTTGGTCTTTGATGAGGAGCCTTCAAGAGACTTTCCCTTGGTACCCTTCGAAGGGTGCTTCCTCTTCTTCCCTTTGCCTTGCCCAATAGCTAAAACAGGGGTAGATGTTGGAGTAGGAGTAGTAGAGGTAACAACCGCCTTACCCTTAAGACCGGATTCCACGGTCTTCAAGAGTCCTTGAAGCTTGCTGAGGGTAACTTCCTCCTTGTTCATATGATATGTCATTCGAAAATGATCATAACAAGGGAGGCAAGGAGTGCAAAATGATGTCAATTGCCAACTCCTCAGGGATGTTAACATTCAGCTTCAGCAAACGGTCCACATACCTTTGCATCTTTTGCATGTGGCCCATGACGGATTCACCGTCCTTCATGCAGGTAGTTATTATGGAGGAGATTATTTCACACCGCTCCTGACGAGCACTCTGATGGTACCTTTCCATCAGGTCTTGGTGCATTTTCAAAAGGGTAGAAATCTTCATATGAATTTTGGAGCTCGGTTGTCATCGTGGCCATCATGATACATGCCACCTTAGTAGCATCTCTCTCATGAGTCCTGAATTCAGCGATCTCCTCAGGAGTAGCAGTAGACTCATCAAGTTCTTTTAACTCTTTATCGAGGACATATTCTTTGTCCTCATAACGAGTAACCATCCTGATGTTCCTAATCCAATCCATGAAGTTGGAACCATCAAAGATGACCCTCCCACAAAGATTCATGAGAGAGAAAGAACCAGTTGGGTTAGAGCCTGAAGCATTAGTGTTGGAAGACATCTGAAAAGAGAGTAAGTTTAGATTAGATATATATAGGATCCTTAATAAGACACCCAAATGTAATATTAAGGCTAGGATCTAATCACAATATATTACACTTAGAAGAGGGATGCCGTAATCTAAGTAATAATATATTTGAAAGGTAGGTGAATGACGATTCACCAATTTCCACCATGAAAATGAAATGATTTATTAGGTTTAATTGGATTTGAAATTCCTAGATTCTTTTGAGATTCACTGAACTTTTCAATGGCATGTTTCAATCTCGATTGTGCCCTTCAAGTTTTGTGACTGGGATGCCGAGGATCACAAAACAAGGTGTGAATAACCATGCTAATTCACTTGGTACCCTTAATATTATCACCTAATCAATGTGCTGGTTAACCACACACGCTCCATTGATCTATGACAAACATTAACTCACCCTTCGTGATCCTTACTAGTCCTAGTTAGTGTGCCGGTTAACCACACACGCTCCACCAACGACTTGGTAAGGTACAAAGTGTGAATTCCATGGACTAGCACCATGTTCACATTTTTCCTAAAATAACTAAGATTGGGAATTAAAAGAGTTTAGTTATTTTATAACATTCATTATACTTTTAATGAGGATTTAAAGTCATTGTTCTACCCGTTTGGCTAACGACCCTCCACCGATCAAGCAAGCGGTGGGTGAGAGTATACACCCATTAAGTAGCCATTTTATAGGCAACAACCTTATACCCACCTTATAGACCGACTTCGTGAATGAGGCCTACTAATGGTAAAACGACTTATTCTTATACACATA